ATCTCGAAAATGAAGATAGGAAGAATTAAAGAGTTGCACTTATCTGGTTAGTAAAAACTCACATAACTCAAAATTTTGAAGCAATATATTTTCAAGAAATCCAATCTGATCGCATCAATATAGTATTGAAATAAGAGCTTTAGGCATTAACGACAATGAGATACGTCCTCAAAAATGCAAGTCACCCGAAAAGAGCAGTCTCTTGGGGTAATCTACCAAGGATAGTTCCATATAATCAGCAGTGGAGGCCTTGTAAATAGCTAAGATAAACAGAATCACCCAAATTTTGGCTACATAGCAATTTAAAATTGTGGAACTATTTCAGGAATAGTGACAGGGCATCTAAAGATATCTTGCATTGAACCCATTACTTTCCTGATGATCCTGTTAAAAACTTAACTCTATTTTTCGAAGAAAAGCTGATTATTTGCTACAAAATTCTAGTGTAGATCAGTAAATTTTGCATAAAAGCAAGCTTTTTTTTAGATAAATACAGATAGGGACGGTTTCATGAAATGAATATTTTCACTGGTATCAAAAATCAATATGTTTTCTAAATAGCAACTTGATTGGAGTATCTTTTGGTTTGTTCCGACATCTCGTCTTTTCGATAAATTTCATCGAATAATCTCTACCCATTAGTTCATTGTTACAGAAGATATCCAAATCGTTGTAACGACTTATATCACCAAATAATGTAATAGCCAAATATCGCTTGATCGTGTTTACGGTTGCCATTTCTACAATGGAAAATATATATATTTTATGAGAATTAGAAAAAGTAAAAAATAAAGAAAAAAGCTTGCTTGGATACTTTGTCGCCTATCATTCTTAGCTTAAATAGCGATCGCTATTTTTTGTAAATAGCAGTATGCCATACAAGAAATGAGCATGTTTGGGGTTGACAACGATTCGCTAACACAATGTACTACGACATAAAAGATCAGTTCTTTAAATAGCTCTTCCATCTCTGAATAATGAAATATGGATAGCTGAACTTACAAAAATCTTCCTTTTTATTTTAATAATCGGCAAGATGAAACTCGGATGAAAAACCTTTCCAAAATAAGTAAATGAACTAACTAATTAAACAAAGAACTGATAAACTAATTAAGTCAATTAATCAGTTAATTCACTAGGTTGATTAGTTAGCCAAATGGATTAATAAATCAGATAAATAAATAGATAAATACACAAATAAATTCTTCTACATATATTCTTCAATAAGAAACCCACCAGATAATCTTAAATAAGGCATTTCGACATCAGAGAATTTGGAAAGCTTATCAGTGCAGAGTTCCACAGCGACTTGTTCATCACTGCGATGATGTTTACCCATCAAATCACCAGCACATTCTCTTATTTCCGAACAACTTCCAATCTGCAGAACCAAAACACGAGAAAGTTCAAAAATAATGAAATACTGACTTTATTTTAAAATGGTAACTTCATCATGAAGTTAGAGTAAAATTATTTTTCATTGAACTCCTGAACTATCAAGAAGTTCGAGATTTTTTTGATACGTTAGTTTTTAAGGGATAAAAATTACCGTATTTTCATCAATTTCTAATTTTTCAGGAGAACCATTTTTACCCGGTTCTGTTTTTACTGTTCGTAAAAAAGCGTTTTGATTTTCTTCCTCCCGTATTTGCACACCGGGAACAAGTTTATATACCAACTCCTGCATCGTACGATCAAAACTCACATAATGGGATGGATGACTCTAAACAGAAGTTGGAAAAAAACTCATCACAACAAACTGAATATTACAGAAAGATAAACATTAATGGAGTTAACCACCAGTACAATTTCTACCCTTAGAATCTGTTTCTGGAAGTAACGGTTAAATAATAGGATTCGCAAAAAGATTCAGCAATGATGAAACTCAGTTTCAAAATACATATAATTTCCAAATACACATTGGCTTATTATGTAAATTTACAAAAAATGCCACTTATAAAGCTAAATAAAATATATGTTTATTCAATATCAAAAAAAAAACCACTGAAAAATGATAAAGTCACAGTTAAACTTGATTTAAAAAAAAAACATTTAATCAATTAATGATTACATGCCTGATGGATGAGATTACTACATTTGGGACAACAGTTATTTACATTCTCGAAGTGTTTCAATAGGCATGATTTGCAAAAAGTATGTAAACAATCGGTAACTGTCGTAGCTTCTACAAAGTACCTAAAAAGATATTATTCAATATGATCTGCATCATAGAGAACAAAGGACGAAAAGTGATGCAAACTAAGTGAACTACCAAACAATTCACTACCACCTGTCACCAGACTAACTTAACTCACTTTATACACTACTTGAGGAAAATTCTGAGAATTTGAAGGAAAAGATAACTTTGAGAAAAACTAACCCTTTACACAAAGGACATGTTATATGAGGATTAAGCGTTTTGAGCAGTATTTTATATTCATCACCAATTAACGTCGGCTTTCGACTCATTCCAAATATTGTTTACTGGAAATTCCCAACGTTCATTCAAAATGGCTTTAAAATAAAATAATTTTCTGTAACTTCGAAAAATATAAAGACCACTGCACATCCCCATTATAATACTCATTATGCCTAGTGGAAGGCAAAGTGTGTATATCGACAAAAAAGCAGTAGACATGAACGGGAAAGCATGAGCTGGAAAATGTGCAAACTATTCCTCAGGACCACAGTCTGCTTTCTTTATTTCAGTTATGGATATAGCATCCGGTAAACAGTGAAGAAATTTCAGCTGGAAAAATTCCTGTGGTTAATAAAACATGTAGAAATACTATGTTTCCCGCAGCTTCTTAACAAATGATATATCAAAATATATTTCACCTCACATTTCGTACATAAGTATGAAGTACATTCATGTTATTGCAATGGTAAGCAATGAATGTGCTATCACCAAGGAAACATTTTGAATATATTTCATCTAATTACTACGATATAGATAGTTGTCCTGCACTACAAAGAGAGATCAATGCAGAAAGTATTTTTATTAACGAAAACTCGACAAAATGGATCAAAAAAGAATTGCCTATAAAAATAAGATTGACGCAATAGAATCGTTATTTAAAGAATATACAACAAACAACAACTATATTCATTAGTGATTAATTGCACAGATGGTGTCAGATGAGGAACTTTCAATTACACTTTGCATTATCTTAGATGATGGCTTCATGTCTCTAGAAGTAAATATCCGCATTTTCCAATGATTTAAATTAAATTCTAACAAAGAACTTCTATAAAATGGAATTTCGACCGGAACTGAACGTAACTGCTGACTGATTAAGGGACAGTAAAACTTGTTAGCAAATAATTACGAAAATAATATGCCAAGAACAATTAACTCCATGCGTAGCATAACCGGTATATTTATGAGGCTAACAACCATATATTTTCCAAACATTCAATTATCTTAACGAAGCATTTCACCAGATTTATTAGTTGAATTTGATACCTTACACTGCGGCACTTGCTGAGGCTTTCCCAAACTTCCAAATTGTTGCCCGTTTCCCCTAAACAAAAGAGATTAATTCGCATCATAAGCTACATCAGTAATGCGTCATAAAGATTAAAATTCATTGTTGCAGATAGCATACAAACGTTATAAAATACCATTCATTGATTCAAATGAATGAATACGAAAGTGCTTAAGTGACTGAAAATCAGTTTTCGAAATATTCCGAATAAATTATAACATCTTAACTCCCACTACATCCTCACGTAATCTATGTGATCCAACCATTCAAAGAAATTGAAGCAGGAAAACAAAGGAAAGAATTTACCTGGCTTCTTTTTCATCCTTCTCTCTCTGTTCATGAGCAAGATATGCCGTATTTGATAGAAATGCCAACAGTCCTTTATGACATCGATTTGCGTAATGGCCTTTTTCACCGCACTAAAAAACATGAGCAGTAATAAAACGAAATAGCAACATGAATTAACATATTTTAACAAATTCAAGTAATATATATCACCTGTTACCATTCACTTATTTGGAAAAGCTTTAATTCATGCACGATAAACTTGAACTGATATATTAATAAAAAAAAGATGTATAAATATTCAGAAATGGGAAACAAAGGCTGAATAGGAAAATTAACTTTCTTTAAAAACCAACGTAAGTATGAACTCAATAAGGAAAATATTTATAAATGAAATATATATATATATATATATATATATATATATATATATATATATATATATATATATATATATATA